GTGCCTGGGGACGGGGGGGGGTGGGGGGGGGGGGGGTATGTTTGTGCCCCTGCCGGTCCCAGAACGCCCGCGTCGCCTGGGTATTCTAAGGACGGCTGCAGCCTGGCCAGGGCTTTCTGGCCTGGCTGCCTGGAGCAGGCCTGGGTTCTTAGGGTCCCTCAACTTCCCCAAATCCCATGTGGCTGCTTTTAGGGCACCTTGGCCTAGGGCATGGAGCCTAGTGGTTAGAGCAGGGGAGTGGGCGGGCGGGGAAAGCCCGCGCAAGGTGAAAAGGCGGTAAAAGCCGGGGTAAATTAACCCAGTGCTCTTTGCGGAGTCTGTGCCGCCAGAGGGACACAGAATCAGCCACGAGCATCCGGAGTCCTTGGTTCTGTTTGCAGCCTGAGGAGGGCAGCAGGCCGGAGGGGCAACGCAGGAGGGCCTGGAAGTCAGGACTCCTGCGTTTTCTCTCCAGCTCTGGAAGGGGAGTGTGATCCAATGGTTAGAGGAAGGACCTAGATGTCTGGCCGTGTGGGCTCTAGAGAGGGGAATGCGATCTCGTGGTGATGGGTTCTCTTCTTTCCCAAGATTCCCAACTGGGTGACCTGGGGTAACGGCTCCTTTCCTGCCTCAGTTTCCCCCCCTCTGTCTAATGGGGAGATGAGGCCTTCACAGTGCTGGTGACTTGTCCGTGTCTGCCTTTCCCTCTGATTAGCCTCTTGGCCCCGCTGTTGCCAATAAAACCTTACATTTTTTTTAGGGGGGGAGAGTTTATAGGTGCAAATGGACCATCTGTTCCCATTTGTACACACACCTTAGAAAACAGCCATAAATTACTGTCCCTTCAGTAACCTGCCCTGCCTGATAGTACCTGTGCGCATCCCATTCCTTCCCCAGCGCATCCGGTTCTCCCCCTCTCTTTCCCCCCTCCCTCATGCCAGCTATTCTCCCCCCAGGCATGGGGTCCCTCTCTGTCTGCACAGCCCCTCCTTTCAGAGCCTTCTCCCTGGAGGGATTAACCCCGTCATTCCTGTGCCATCAATCGGCAGCAGCTTGCGGGGGGGGGGGGGGGGGGGACGTAAAGGG